TGCACTGTTGTGTGAATGGCTCCAGCACGTATACTCAGCAAAGCCATTACGTGCTGAGTCTGGCGGATCTCTCGTCCAGTGATTACGACCCATTTTTGCGACTTGGGAATGTCAAGAGGGGTGGGGATAAGGATGCCTGTGGGGTTGGCAATTTGGATGGGAATATCAATGGGGCTGGGGATGCTGATGGGGTTGGGGATGCCAATGGAACCGGAGCTGTTGCTGGGTCCAGGGCGGCTGAGCCTCCAGCACCGTTGGGGCTGCCCTGGGGCAGATGGATCTGGCCCAGGAGAAAGGGCCAGGTCCCACAGTGATGGGTGGCTGTGCTCCAAGCCCCATCTCCTCTCTCCCTCCCGTTGCCTGTTGCAGCTGGTGCTCCTGCCACGGGTGTCGGAGCTGCCTGGCTTCCACGGGGCAGAGGCAGCGGCGGCGGCACGCCAGGAGGAGCTGGAGCGGTACCGGTGCCTGGAGGCATTTCGCATGCCCCCCCCGACCCCCCTGGCCCAGGCCTGTGCCCGCCTGGTCTGCAGTGTCTCAGCCTTGCTGCACGGCGGGGCGCTGCGTGAGTGGGGGGCACCCTGCCGGGGTCGAGGGACGTGCCTGGGGCAGTGGGTGAGGATAGAGCCATGGGTCAGGATGGGACCGTGTCCACAGCAGGGTGGGCAGGGGCACCTGTGCCAGTGGGTCAGGATGGGGCCATGCCTCTTGCAAGGGGTGGGTAGGGGTACCCGGGGCAGGGGGTCAGGATGCGACCATGCCCTTTGGAGGGTTGGGCAGGGGTACCCAGTGCAGTGGGTCGGGATGGGGCCATGCCCGTGGCAGGGGTGGGCAGGGGAGTGGTGGCAGGGTGCAGGCAGGGTACGGGCAGGGCATCCCCAGCCCCACGCTGGTCCTGCTGCCCGCAGCCTGCCAGTGCGACCCACAGGGCTCCCGCAGCAGCGAGTGCCAGGTGCAGGGAGGGCAGTGTGAGTGCAAGCCCCACGTCCTCGGCCGGCGCTGTGACCGCTGTGCGCCAGGCAGCTACGGCTTCGGGCCCCTGGGCTGCAGCTGTGAGTAACAGGATTTGTGCCTGTCGGGCATCCCTGTCCCTCCTGTCTGTCCATCCATCCATCAGAGCCCTGTTCGCTGCCCATCTGCCTGTTCACTTGTCTGTCTGTCCATCTGTCCGTGCATGTCCCCCTGTCCATCCATCCATCCATCCAAGCCCCGTGCTTCTGCCTGGGGTGGGCACTGCTCTGCCTTGCACTTACTCATCTGTCCATCCGCCCTTCTGTGCCCACCTCTGTGTGTGTCCACTGTGCCGTAGCCCATGGGTTGGGCATGCCCTGGGTGCTGGTCCCCCGTCTGTCTGCCTGTCCATCCGTCCCTGTGTCCCTACACCCATGTGCCTGACCCAAGCCATGCTGTCCTGCAGCCTGCGCCTGCTCCCCAGAAGGCTCAGTGTCACAGATGTGCGATGCGGTGAGTGGGCAGTGTCGGTGCCAGCATGGTGCCGTGGGCCGGCAGTGTGACCAGTGCCAGCCAGGCTACTGGGGCTTCCCCGCCTGCCGGCCCTGTCAGTGCAACGGGCATGCCGAGGAGTGCGATCCCCAGACAGGCAGGTGCCTGCACTGCCGTGACCATACCGCCGGCCGGCACTGCGAGAGGTGAGCCTGATCAGAGGGGAGGGGATGGGACAGTATGGCATGGCATGGCATAGCGTGGCATGGATGGGCTGGGGTAGATACAGTGGGATGGGATAGGATGGTATATGATGGTATGGAATATAATGGGATGGGATGGTGGGGTGGGGTACGATGGGATGGGATGGGATATGATGGGATGGGATGGGATATGATGGGATGGGATAGGATATGATGGGATGGGATGGTGGGATGGGATATGATGGGATGTACGAGATGAGATGGGATAAGATGGCATGGCATGGCATGGCATGGCATGGATGAAGTGGGATGGGCTACTATGGATAGGATGGGATGGACCCCCAGGCACTCACCGCTCATCCTCGCAGGTGCCAGGATGGTTACTATGGGGACCCAGTGCT